GTAGAGTGCTGTGGCATCCCAGCTCACAGCAACCTCCAACTCCTGGGCTCAAGCGAGTCTCCTGCCTCCGCCTCCCAAGTAGCTGGGACCACAGGTGCCCGCCATGACGCCTGGCTATTTTTTGGTTGCAGCCGTCATTGTTGTTTGGCGGGTCCGGGCTGGATTCGAACCCGCCATCTTAGGTATACGTGGCTGGCGCCTTAGCCGGTTGAGCTACAGGCGCCGAGCCTCCACAGTTGTTTCAAAAAGAATATAGTTTGCTTTCTAAAGAAAAGTTTCCTTCTGTTGATCTTTTGAGGTGCAGTGTGTGGGGGGGGGGTTCAAAAAGATGGTAAAGTTTATGAAAAACAACTAAGAACAGAGTATTTTAATTTCATAATTCTAAAAAAATTTGAAATTGAAAATGACGTATAACTGCTAGTTGGGAAGATTTTGAAGTGGCTGTTCCCCACCCCAAACCAAAAGGAGTAACACTTGCAGTTTTCGTAATCTGTTCCTCCTCTCCTTCTAGTACCCCCTTGAAGATCTATTTAAGGGTTCGACTTTAAACAACTGCCAAACTTTTCTTCAGGGAAGAGGAAAAGAAGTCTCCAGCCTTAGAGGAAATTGTCTATACAGAATGGAGCTCAACTTTATCAGATTTTATCCTAATGATCTTAAATGTGTTAAGCTAAATCCCTCCTTCTGCAAGCTCTCAACTTTTGTTTATTGTTGAGCTCTTTTGGGACCATTTTTGCACACACCTTACTCATGCCAGTATTTTCCTATTTCTCTATTGATGTTTACTTGGTCTGCCATGCTTCTCACAGTCAGTTGATTTTTTTTTTAGAGACAGAGTCTCACTCTGCTGCTCCAGGCTAGAGTGTGGGACATCATAGCTTACAACAACCTCAAATTCCTGGGCTGGCCCAGTGCTCTTACCTCAGTACCTCAGCCTCCCAAGTAGCTGGGACTACAGGTGCCCATCATAATGCCTGGCTAGTTGGGTTTTATTTTTCTATTTTTAGTGAAGATGGGCGTCTCCCTCTTTGCACACCATAGCCCTTCATTTAAAAAATTTGATCAAATCATCCAAAACATAAACATAGTTTTATTTTTTTTTTTTTTT